CACCGCGCAGCCGCCCAAGTACACCACGACCACGGCGCAGCCACCCAAGTACACTTCCACTCAGGCGACCTCCTCGCCACCTGCAGTGATTACTACTACAGCTACACCAACGAAGACGGTGACTCCTCCGACTAATACGCCGCCATCTACCGTTGTCCCTGTTACTCCAACACCTACCCCCAAACCAACATCAACACCACCCGAGGAAATCATCACTACTATTACTAAGACTGTTAGCGCGCCAGTTATAACACCCTAAAGTGCATACTCGCACTTTCGCCACTGCACCGCTGCACACATCCACTCCTGTTCATTTTCATACGATTTAATCCCCCTGTTTCTCTTTATTTCCTTGTGATGTTCCTTTTTCTGTGTGGCCTTGCCTTGTCCGTGGTGGTTTTCCTACGACGGACCATGCACTATTAAGTTATCGCCTTATTTGTTATGCTTTGCGGCAATGGTAACCACCGCTATACATGAAACTTGCTACTATCAGTTCTTGGCGCGATGGTTTTTGTTTGCAGTTTTATTTTACCGTTAATATATTTATCTTATGACTTTTACACTTTGTAAGAAACATGGTATTTCAGTAGCTATTGTAGAGAAATATTTTATACTTTATGACAGGTAGCGATATAGAAACTAATTTGAAAATGTTTCCGTTTTATTTTGTATAACTTTTTGATCGTTACCATTTGGAGAAATATGCCTTGCCAACGTGAAAATACTACTTTCTCTCAACTACTATTATCACCGCTTAAAGAGCTTTGTTCCTTCGAGGCGGCGGTGGCTGGTTATAGTGTCGTCAAGTGGCTATTTTCTTCTACACAAACTTTTTTCAATATCAATTTGTTTGCCTTGTGGGAAACTCAATGTCACCAATGCGCATTGTTGGTATACAGCTGGCTAGCATAACAACCAAGTCGAAAAACAACTCGCTGTTGCATCCAGATGAAACCTTTAGCTATGCGCCAGGAAGGTACAGTATGCTTAATGCCAGTAGCACCAATAAATATACAAATTAATAATATACCTTTACATTTCGCAAGATTTAAGCCTTTGCGCATGCTACAGGTTTTATTTTCATGGCGATACAAGCCAACACAAGCCGTACGCAAGGCCTTTGGTATAGAATATAGTGCATTATTAATTAAACAATAATATAAAAACTACAACAACCGACGAGAGGGTGTCTGTCTGCTATTGTCTAGCAGCAAAGCTCGGCGCAACAGAATCCGGCGCAACAAGGGAGGCACCATCCACCGCCTGAGCCTTGGAGGTTGGGGCGCTGAGAGGGCTGCTGTTGTACATAGACAACCTGAGGCTGCTGCTGCTGCTGTTGCGGCGGATAGTACTGAGGCCCCCCGCCGCTTGTCTGATAGTACTGATTCCCGTAGGGCGGTTGGCCATAGGTAGGCGGCGGTGGCGGTGCATAGTATCCCTGGTTGCCCATTTTGCAAGATCAGAAAGTAGAGGTTTTCAGAGAAAAATGTGCACAGTCTAGAGCGTAGCAGCACGGTAGATGAAACAAAGAAGCGTTTATAATTATACAGTTTCAAAGAAAGAAGCAGAGCAACAAGGCGCAGAAGAGAAAGGTGTTTATCTCAGCCATGCGGCATGCACATGGCCTGTCTCTTTTATATAAGAAGGAGGAGTGATGATAGGGCCATACGTAAAGAGGCCATAGCGTGTGATAAATGGACACCGTCCAAAGCTGTGCGATAAAAGCTGCCCTGTACATCGCAGTGAGGGCGTAGCGTGGGCGTGAGTGGATAAAGAGGTCACAACATCTGGCTAGGCACACCACCAGTGTGCAGTAAAAGAAGAGGGAGTCGCTTTCATTTGTTAAGCGTACACCATTCGGTATTCAGTGAAAAAAGCCGGCGCCCAGGCCAATGAATGAAGCAGCAAGGCAATGCGCCATGAGATCTTGCATTGGCATTCTCTACTTTTGAAACGCTCTCTGGCGGTCATCCGACCCTTCACGCATCTCACCGTGCCTAGGAACAAGCGGCTGCCTCCTCTTTCCTTTTCGTCCTAGACGACTACCCCATCCTGCTGAACAATACAGTTTGGTCAAAATCAACCGCAGCAGGGCCTTTAAACTGCAATAATACCTGCTGGAATTCCCGCATCTCCCAGCGCTCGGCCGCTAGGTCATAAAATTCCGCAAGCATTGTACAAATGGATCCTATTTATAGGTCAGAGTGTAAATGGGAATGGGTGAGTGCCTGACTGGCGCAGACGCCATCAATGCGCTTCTAGAAGCCTTTTTTGTGAGTCCCAGAAGCCGTGGGTCGGCCTCAGCTTGATGTGAAGAGAAAGGGAGATAGATTTGTGAGCAGCGCCGCAAACCATACACCCTTGCCTATATCTGGAGCAAGCAGCAGCGAGACGGACTTTTGCGTCATTGTCAATCAAAGGCCGGTAGTGGATTTGCCCAGCTTGGCGGCATCTCCTCACCACTAATTAATCCACAGTGCGACATGACGTCACAGCTTGGGCCCAGGCTACGAGGGTAATATGGCGGCAGCTGCACACAACCCAGAAAAGCGCATGCGGAGTAAGCCAGATACAGCAGGCGCCATGTGGTGTGCAGTCCTTTTTTAATTGGTGTTGATTTATTGAAATTCTAAAAATTTATTAAGGTCTAGAAGCATTCTGCGCAGCAGCAGCCCGCGCACAGCCCACAGAGAAATGGCATGCATCCACCGCCGTTGCTATATCCGCCTCGGTGGTGATGGTGGTGGTGGTGGCCATGATATCGACGGTGGTGGTGGTAGCGGACCTGGCGGGCGCCTGGCCTGATAACGCGTCGTCTTCCGAAAAGCATCACGGCGGTTTGTTCTATCTATAAAGCACTTTTTTCCTATAATGTCGGCGGTGACTCACTATATATTTGTTACTTAGAAATGTGAGCAAATAAGTAAGAAAAATAAAATAAAGTACATAAAGCTAAAAGAATAAAAAGCGAAAACATGAATCATTGCTTTCTAGCAGACCCACCTTTATAAACAGCCTTCGACTGCTGGTGGTGGGTGGTGCATAATAGCGATAAGGCATAGCTCTCTTGTCACACCAAACAACGCACATCCCGTATTTGCCCTCATATTCCCTCATGAACACAGAGATACAGACACATATTTATGCATGCTATTCAAACCAAGTGACGACGTTGTTTGACGGAAAAATACATTTGCAAGCGCACGGATGTGCGATTGATTGCATGAAGGAAGAAGATTCTCTGCAGTAAACAGATAGCAGACAGCGACAGGGCAGCGAAAGTCACTCCGCTTTATTTAGATACAGGGGCAGCAGCAGCATAGCTTCCCAACGCAGGCGCCGCAAAGGAAAGGCATGCATCGACTGTGCTTTTTTTCCACCACCACTTTTTCACGACGAGCGTGGTTATGATGATGACCGTGGTGGTGCCCGAGCGACCCCGGCTCGTACTGAGCCGGCTCTACATATCCTGCCCTTGGTCTTATACGCCGACCGCCAGCAGCATGGTTTCTTGAAAAAAGCGCCATTGTTTTGTGATGAGTGTAGTAGGGTTCGGTTATATAATAAAATTGGTGTTTTAATGGAATCGGAAGTATATAAATATATTGATGTTTTCGAAAGAAAAAAAATAGTCTATCAATCCGCCATGCTCTGTCCTTTTATATCATTCTTAACAACCCAGAAATTAATATAAACAGCATAGTGGTGCAGAGAGTCCCTCAAAGCCTTGCTTGCAAAATAGTGCGCAGCCATGTACGCACTGGCAAGCACGATGAGATAGTCTGGTCGCCTTATTGAGATGCAAATAATGCTAATACATGATGCATTTGTATACCTCGTGCCCACAAGTGTTGAGATATACCTATTTGTTTCCAAGCGGGCTATTACCTCAACATGATCACCACAATTATAAAGACCTGTGGGAAGGCACAAAAGGGCCACCTGGAGTGTATCATCCTCCTTATCATCATCATTATCGCCATCGTCACCACCATCACCATCGTCACCGTGCATGTTATATTTACTGCTTAATTGATCACTTTTTAGGCCGTTTGCTTTTATTCGCGTCATCCCCTTTTTTAGCCTTACAAAAAACATGACGTATTAAAAATAGCGCACTCGGTTGTGCTATCACCGACAAGAAAACACGCGCAAACTCCCGCCACCAGTCTAGGCATAGATGTCACTCACCGTCATTATATTTGCTAACAAAAATTAAATAAAATTTGGATAAATGAGAAGCGCAGACTCTGGTTTATATGTCTTTGGCTCCGTTTTTGTGACGACCATATTTATAATCTGCGCAGCATCATCATCACCACCGCTGTCGATTTCATGTGCCGCGGCAATACACACGACGCCACTTGCTCGCATAGCTGTCCGCACAGCCGTCAACCGTCAAACTCTTGATCTAATAAAACACGCCGAGGGATATGTACCCGTTCCCAGTCCAGATCCGCTGGGGGTGCCCACTGCTGGATACGGCCACCAGTGCAGGCTACCTGGCTGCAAAGAGATACAGCATATGTTGCCTCTATCCAGAGAAGCCGCCGAGAAGCTCCTTCAAGAGGACATATCCATCTTCGCCGCGGCTCTAGCTCAAATACTGGTCAACCACCAGTCCCTGAACGAAAACCAATGGGGTGCTCTAGTCTCGTGGACCTACAATGTGGGGACCGAGAATGCTCGAAACTCTTCTCTTGTCAAAAGACTCAACATGGGTCAACCACCAAACGATGTTGCCAAAGAAGAACTACCTAAATGGATAAGCTCAACTGTTGGGCAGACCTTGCCAGGGCTAGTCGGTCGGCGTGCAGCCGAAGTAGCGCTTTTCTGCCAGCCCGTGTTGTGAAATGCAGTAAGCCTAGCAATAAAACAAGTGCATTAGAACTTATTGTAGCTTGTATAGGGGCGATTGCAGCCCATTATTTTGTGGTTGTTATAGTTTTTTTGCCCAAATAAACTGCAGTAAAAAAAGCAAAAACGCAGAATTTATGTGATGAAGGTGGGGTTCGAACCCACGCAGAAATAAATCTACTAGGGCCTAAACCTAGCCTCTTGGACCACTCGAGCACTTCACCATCTAAAACTGCACCAATCACAAAATTTCTGCGTTGTAATGGACATCAGACAAGAAAAGCAACGCGCATTGCGGGACATGCGCAATAAACCACCTGACGTTGTATCCGCACGACGCAAGTGAAATAAATAGCTTTTTATGATAGTTTTTATATGTAACGTTTTTCGGACCCGCTAGTTTTAGTTTTTAAGAATAATACATAGTTTATATCGCAACATATTGTCATAACCTTTTAACATATATTTCATATATTACTTCTTATATTTTAATCTGCGTTTATTTCACATATACTTTATTCTCGTTATTTGTTTTACCTGAGCTGAACCGTGACAGCGTCTACTGCCATAAACACCTATTTAATCATTGTGCCACTTTTATACCAACACGCTGTCGTTGCCAATAGTTTTCAATATACATATATTCTATTTTAACCGAATTACCTCTAGCCATGTGTATAACTTTTTATTTTATTTAGTTGCAGCAGTCCTCTGTACATTCCATTTTTCACTACAGCGCCCTATACCAATCCATGGATTGTAATCACTTGACTTGTCTTGTATTTTCCTTTATTATTTTCGCTCTCCAATTTAGTGGGCTTGCACCTCCGGATGATACATCGGATCCGATGATGACAGCAGTCTTCCGAGCAAAAGGCTTGTTTTTTTGTTGCTAAATTGCAAATTCTAGCTCAATGGCCACAGAAACTATGATGATCACTCACTCACACCTTTGTCAATCCGCCATGTATTATTTTTCAATACGACTTGTAGGCTACTACAGACAAAAACATAATATTCTGCCCGAGAAGTAAGTTTACAGACAATAAAACTTTTCCTTCAAGGATGCACCATAAAAACATGGGTACCTTTTTTGTGTATAATTTTTTATTTTCATTGCAGCTTTGAGTGAGCCATCATGTAGTTTTCAAAGAACAGTAAAAAGACACAATTTTCTTTATAATATGAACCACTGGCCATGCCAAATTTGAGGCGAAAAAAACAAGCTTATGCCAGTTTTTTGATATTGAAGTACGCTTTTCTCTTGCACTTTTTATAAATTATTTGAATTTGCGTTTATCACTCCCAATGTATTCTAATATTATTATCATTCTAGTTTCTATTGTATCTGTGCAGGCACATACATTCTTGTCTAATCTCAGCATCAATGGTACTCGCTTGGGCTTAGGAAAATGCATAAAGCCCTACTCCATCAGCCATCGCAATTTCCCCGTCCAAGATCCGTCTCAAAGTGACCTCACCTGCAGGACAACAAACATGGCAGCGAGTGCTACCGACACTTGTGGAGTACAGGCAGACTCAACCATCACCGTTGAGTGGCACAGATCGGGAGATAGCGGCGATGTCATCTCTGCCTCACACAAGGGCCCGTGTCTCGTGTATCTCTCACCCATGAACAGCGATGGCACCGGCAACTCGTGGTTTAAAATATTTGAATACGGGTATAGCAGGTCTGAAAATCAATGGTGCGTCGACAAGATTATTAAAAGCAACGGGAAGATGGATATTAAAATTCCTAGTGACATCAAGCCTGGTAGGTATCTGCTGCGCACCGAAATTATTGCGCTCCATTTTGCCAAAAATGAGTATCGTGGACCAAATACAAACACGGGTGGGCAATACTTTCCAAACTGTGCACAGTTATATATTTCGGGAAGCGGCCAAAATGAACCAAAGGGTGTAAAGATACCGGGTGTCTATAAAACAGACAGCCCAGGTATCCTTTTCGACATTTATCACTTTAACGGAACATATCCAATTCCCGGTCCACCCGTCTACAAGCCAATAGGCTAAAACGTTCAGTTGTTTTTTTCGCTTGAATACTACTACTTTAGTTATATGACTTGGATTTTTTGCTTTATTTTTGCTTTATTAAAACCTATTACAAATGAAGAAATATATTAAATGCAAGAATGAATGGACTACTTGCTAGCAAGGATGACCCAGGAATCCATACTTTTGCTTGGAAGTTACAGTTGTAGCGTCGCGAACCAGTACTGCAATATAGTCGCTTTTTTCAAAGTTGTAGCTTGAAATTGTTTTACTTGGTTTGATAGGGCTGTCGTTAAAGGATGTTTTGTACACGACAAAGTTGTTCAAGTTAGATTTTTTATTCTCTAAGGGAGTGCCTTTAAAATCAAGCGATTTAATAAATGGGTCAACGACACTGCTGAATTTTGATTTCTCATCGTATTTGTAAGTATTCGACTTCTTCGGCAAATTCAACAGGTAATCATTTAGACTAGAGTAGTAATTTACCTTTACCTCATTCGCTAGTAGTTTGCCAGTATTTGAGGGTGATTTAGAGCAAAGCATATTTAGTTGAACAATATAGTAAAAAATAATGGAGAAAGTTGTTTTAAAAGAAAAAATGTTAATGGGTGCATTTTTTGGGTTTTATATAGTGGGGGATTATTTTCTAACGTGGTAGCAGTTGCAAAATGCGCACAGTCGCCGTTGACTGTCGTTGACTGCTGTGCTTACTCTTTGTATAATTAAAATCAACCTCACACACGAAAAAAAGAAAAAAGCGACTGCACAGCAGTCAGCGGCATTGTTTCTCCACTTGCTCAAGTCAACTCAAATAAAGCAAACTAAGTTGGGAAAATTCAGTTAGTATTCCGATGGGTGTTGAATATCATGCCGTGAATAAATGAATGCACGCATTTCATTTTTTTGTGCATAGGAGCTAAGGTCAATGAGCTGTTTTCATGGCAAGTCATCTGTTTTATAGACATATATATATATATGTACTCTATACTTTTGGGTTTGTACATAAACAAGCCTAATTTCCCAACCACTATAAAACAAGACATTCAAAATGCAGTTTGCGACTAATATACTTTATACATCTGGGTCTACAAACTCGATGCCCTTTGATGCATGTTGAAAAAACTCGGATATGTATATTGTCTGGATAAAGCAGTGTATTTTTGCAGGAGGGCTTCCGGCAAAGTTGTGTTTGTATTCATCCATGTAGAGTAGTACGGCAATTCCATTTTTATCCCAGCCCATTTTTTCTCTGACAAAGTTGCAAATAGCTTTATCGTCAGTAGCTAGAGCTTTATCCTTTAGATCTATTATTTGGACTCTAGACTCGCCGACGTGTGCAAAGATGCAGGGGCGGCTCTGTACTTCCATCTGATGACAAACAATTAATTATTAGACAAAATAGACTAGAGCAAAAATATTAAAAAACGAATAAAAATATGCAATTGAAAAATAAAGAAGCATTGGTTGCCATGCGTATACATACACTTTCGTTATTAAATAGAAAGAACTGTTTAAAAGTGTATTTGGCCGCAGCATCATAAAAGCTACTTTATTATGTTTAAAAATTTAAGAAACCGCAGCAAATAAAACCAAGTCATGCGCAAATTACTTGAGCAGCGGAAAGGCAGTGTTAGTTGCTGGTGTTTAACACAGAGCAAAATCCCGCTTAAACAACCCAAGAGCCAAGAATTAAACTCGAAAAGAGTGCCTAAAAGCAGGTACACACACACGACGAATCAAAAGTTGTAGCAGTAGGCTTTATTGAGCTGAAAGAATAGTACACGTAGAAAACGAAAGAGAGAAAGAAAGAAAAAACAATAAAAATTATAATCTAAACTTGAAAAGCGCGTTGGAAAATAGTCGCCAATTTAGCCACCCTTAGTGTCCTTGATAAGTGATTTGATAGAGTCGACGCTTCCCCAAATTGAAGCAACAGTACCAATAATAAGGACAATGCCCATCCATATCTTTTCGTACCAAGGCGCGATGCGGAGGCCATACAGCTTGAGATAGCAGACGATAGGCAGTATTGCATACATGGTGACGCAGGCAATGGAGCTGATAAGTCCAAGAAAGTCAGAAAAGTAGGGGATAGCGAGGGAGATTGCGCACACAATAGCCACGACAACGCTACGGTACACCAGGCGCACAGTGAATTCACGTTTCTTGCCCAGGCGTTCGGGCGTAATCTGCCACATGTTTTCAATCTCCAAGTAAAAGCTCAGCAGCATGATTGGGGCGGCGATGATGACATGCAGGGTAATCATTATTTTGGCGATGGTGGCGGGTGCGCCGGTGGGTATAGAGTCAAGGACGGGAGAGACCACCTGGTCGCCATAGGCCCAGTAGCCGGCGACGCCGATAAGCAGGTAGGCGGCGGCACAGAAGCCCATGGATGTGTAGATCACGCTGGGCCACTGCTTGGGCTTTTTCATGGCGGCCTCGACGTGAGGGTACACGACCGAGCCCGAGTATGAAAACACAATGGAGGAAAGGGCGACGGGAACGCCGATGCCGATGGCCACATCGTGTGCAGGCAGCGGGTCGGCTGGATTCATGACAGCGTAGGGGCTGATGATGGACATGATGGTGGCTACCAAGATGACAACAATGGAGGCCAGCAGGCCAAAGATAGCCATAATTGCAGCCTCAGACATTTCTTTAAGAATGGCTACGGGGATCCAGATGATGATGGCTACCAGGATCATCCACACCTTTTGGGTGACGTTGACGCCCAGAGTCGAGACCAGCTGAAAGATAAATTGGCCCGAGAGGATGATATACAGGCATGTGGTGCCCAGAGAGTAGAGGTAGTTGAAGAATTGGGTTGCCCACTGCCCGTACTTGCCAAATGCAGCGCGGCCAATTTGCGGAAAAGAATGTAAGCGCTCGCCAGGGCGATGGTACAGGCAGCGGATGGTGAGCACGCCCGTGTAGCCGCCAATGAAGGCCGATAAAACAACGATGATGATGCCAATCCAGCCGGTTTTGGAAAAGGCGTATGGAATCTGCAGGCAGCCCGTTCCAATGATAATGCAGACGACGTTGGAAAACGACTTTAGAAAGCCGGCGTTGCGCGGCAGATGTGGCTGCTGCAGGGCCTGCGCACGCTCTGCTTGTGTATCGAGTTCGTTTTCCAGCTCTACCAGGTCTTCAACCGCATCTTTCTCGCCTGCAGACATGCTTCGGCCGGCGTCTTCGGTCAGCGGCA